CGCGGGGACCCCGGGCGCAGCGAGCCAGGGCCGCCATCTTCTCCTCCCGCAAGCCTCCGCGGCCAATGGATGCCGCGGGGGGACAAACTTGACCAGAAGTCAGCAACGCGGAAGTACAGGCTTTCCCTTCAGGGGACCACCCCCGAACTGCGCATGCGCCGATCCCAAGGTGAAGGCTGCTGTCGTGCCCCAGCAGCGCGGCCAATCCGAGCCCGGGAGCTGCGGGCTTGCGCGTGCGAGCGGGTTGCCATGGTTCCGAGCGGCCCCGCCCCTCCACTTCCGACAAACTTGACCAGAAGTCAGCAACGCGGAAGTACAGGCTTTCCCTTCAGGGGACCACCCCCGAACTGCGCATGCGCCGATCCCAAGGTGAAGGCTGCTGTCGTGCCCCAGCAGCGCGGCCAATCCGAGCCCGGGAGCTGCGGGCTTGCGCGTGCGAGCGGGTTGCCATGGTTCCGAGCGGCCCCGCCCCTCCACTTCCAAGACACGCCCCCCGCTCCTCCCCGCCCTGTTCCTTGTTTCTCTTCGGTCCCTTCCTCACTGCTAGCCTTTGCGCGGTGGCGGCTGTTCGCAGCGGCTGCCACTCACTTGTCCCCAAAGCCATCCCAACCCTGCAGGTGCCTCTCATTGCCCCACCCAGCTCATGTCTCTTGCCCCCACCCACTGCCCCTGGCCTCCAGCCCTGCTGGACAGGATCCCCCGCTGCCAGGACTATGGGGCCAGGGACCCAAGTCTCCCCAACAGCAGGCAGTTGCAGCAGAAGCAGCATGGAGTTGACTCCCCCACTGCTCTGCCTGCTCGGGTGGGGGCGGAGCTGGCTCCTAGCCCTCCCAGCCCTGTCAGTGAGCCCCAGCCACGTCCAGCAACTCTGCCCTGCCAGAGGGGCCCCCAGCCCCCTGCAAGCCCCACTTACCTCAGGCTCCAGGAGTGAAAAGTGAAGCTGAGCAGAGCAGAGCCTCAGGCCCTGCCCGTCCCCTCCCCCTCCCCCTCGGGGCAGGGTTGGGGGCTTCCTACCCTGTTTGCAGACAGCTCTTACAGGTTGGAGCTCTACCAGCCCGCAGATCTCTTTGCAAAAGCAGGGAATATGCAGGTCTCTCTGCTAAAAGGAGAAATCCACGCTGGAAAACCAGGATCCCTGGTGATCAGGTGGATCCGTGCCCCCAGCAGCTACAGACAAGGTGTGTGGTGGGAGGGGTGATGCTTGCCCCTCCAGCCGGGGAAGGGGGCAGGTTTGCAGGGGCACCAGGTTGGGGGAGGGAGGGAGGGCGGTAGATGCAGTCAGAAGTGAAGGGCACCAGCAGGGAAAGGGGATGGGGCTGTAGTTTGGGAGTGAGGGGCAGCAGCAGGGCTCGGGAGCGAGCGGCAGGACCTTCGCAGGCACCGGCGGCGGGATGCGCCCGCGGGCTCCGGCTCCGAGGGGCTCCC